TGGTGTTGAAATGTGTTTGGAGTCTTCTGAACAAAGTCCTAACACAGCTTCCTTTGGTGCTGCACGGATGACTACTTTGAAGTTTAGAATTTAATCCGTACGCGGCATAATGTATGCAGGTTTTCTAATAACGTACCGGTACTCAGGATGTTCAAGAATCCCCGTTGTTTATCGTTCTCCCTCTTTATTGTGGTTTTGATGTTATTGAATGTGTTATTCATCATGTTGGGTGATTACTATTGCCAACGCAGTTGTTTCATTTTCATGGGCACGATGTTGTAGAGGAATGGTGAATAATCGGATTTGATAAGCGCTGTGTAGATTAGAAAATTCCCTTGATGAAATGTAAGGTATTTCCAGATGGATAACCACTTAGAACTGTCAAGTGGCTGAAAACCGGGTTCACTGTGCTAGTATTAGGCTGAGGGCATCATATAATGGATTTCAATTGCTTTGCTCCATTAAAGCTACGCGAGACGACATATATAATTCCGTTATAAATGAACAATTTCTAATTATAAATTTTAGAAACACGTAGTGGTGATAGTGTACGTTTTATTTTGTCACAAAACTCCAAATCGAATTTTCATACTTTTAAATAGCGTTCAATACTGACTGACACGATATGTCAGATTTTCTGGAATTTTTTCGCATTCCCGAGAAGTGCGACAGCCGATATCAGTAGATTGGTAGGCATGGATTCCTCCATCGTTTGGCTATTTACCTCGTTAGGCTGGGGTAGCCAATAATTTGTTTTCAAATTTAACCATTTATTTTCAGCTTTTGGGTGTGTACAACAAAGTTAAACAACATCCGTCTCGCCTGTGTCTCTGTATGACAGATTACATGCAGTTGTTTTATTAGACTGTTCAGGATTCACTCCAAAGAATAATCATGCAATCGATAAAAAAATTAAATCAAGAAATAAATTCATAGTCAAACTCTAAGTAACAAATAAATTCGAGTAGAAACAAAATGCTTACCACTGTGTCTCCAAGTGCATTAAAACTAGATCGACTTGTGGATGACACATTTCGAAGTTCGGTACCAAGGAGCTGAAATCCATAGACCGTTGAAAGAAAACGAAATATTATAAAGTACAATGTCATCTTCTGACTTGATAAATTGTGTTGCAACAATACAATTAAGACGACTCTTGCAATCTCACATCTGTTTACTTTAGTCCAATTATTACAATCTACTCGAACAATGTCAATAGTATATTTGCCTCTCAGTCCACTAAAATTCAGTGAACTTTCACCGGTCTAGGTGGATAAGAAAACGGGATGTGTGAAGAAATAAGATTGTGTACAAAGCGAGGACCAACCTCATTCTTGCCATCAGGCGATTATATATGGTACGTAGCATTGCGGATCACAGGAAAAGAACACACGGATACTATCATGCAGTTGATCAGCATATCTAAGGTCCAACGATTTAACCGGGGTTCCTAAGCAGCTGTCTAAGATCAGTACAGCTAAGTCAAACTTGCTCAGTTACTTACGAACCACCATGAGTAAATAACTGATGGAACCGATTGCTTATGCCGTTCTTTTCCGAAAAACAATTGTTTTCCTCAACTTGTCGTATTGAAGTACGGAATTTCGTTGTGTATTATGCATGATTTTCAGCAGACAAAGTACCATTTTGGGATGTCCCAGAACGGTGCACTTTCATCCCCGTGTTGATTAATGTCTATCCAACCTTGAGTCCGACAAACTTCTTTTGCTGGCAACTTCTTCATGATGGCTCTGGGGCTAAATAACACGCAGGTATTGGATTGCACAAAGTTAGACAACGAGGAAGTGTGATTCTTTAGTGCACACCCTGAAAATGTTGACAATATCCATGTGATAAACAGCAGGGACTAACAATCCCCTCAAATTTGTTATATGTTGCATAATATATGATCAGTCTAACGTGTCCTTATGAAATGCAAACTAGACATGAATGAGAACGCACCGGTAATTACCGGCACCACATTGGGTCGCAAACCGGTGTTGTCATATATATACATACATACATACATATATATATATATATATATATATATATAATTTAACAACTGATTCACTATGAGCGGAATAAATATACAGTGGATTCACACGAATAGTTCCTTCGTGTGAGGGAGTTCATCAAGCTTATCTCACCTTTCACATACGTACCTTAGCTAACCATTAAAAAACACTTCCCACCTTTGTGGCTGGTCTATACAGAGTGTTTTACATAGCCCCTTCTAACAAACTGTGAGGAGGCACTCGATCAACACAGCTGTCCAATTGCTCTCAGACATCCGATCACACTTTCATTGTTCACTTTTTGCACAAAGTGAATCACTCAAATCCTTTTGTAATTCGTGCCCATTACTTGTCACATTTGGGGTTTCTCAGTTGTGCCAAAAATTCAGGATTGCTAGAGAGACCTAACGAGGTTCAAATATTAATACAGTGCTTGCCGGCTTTTCAGTTGACCCCTCCTGCGCTTTATGTGTAATAATAGTTCACGGTAAATGGTACTTCAGTGCAATAGGTGAAGGCCTACGTTTGATACCCTATGGGAAGCTATTACATGTTTGTTGAGGATTTTCCCTATTTATCTGAAATGTAAGAACAGAAACAGCTAACTGACCAAACAATCACTGGTATTTCAAAATTTTTGACCATTACAAAATTATTATTATTATTATTATTAATTGACAGGTAATTTAGCAGTGTTCATCCTTCCGTTTTCGGACCGGGCAGTTTTTCAAATACTTTTAAGTTAAGCATATCTGCCATAATGTAAATCATGAGAGAGAGATACTGAATCAGTGGTCTCATTGTATGGTTTCTTTTGTCTGAATAAGACGTGTGTCTTGTGCGCGCACCCCTAACACCACTCTGAGCATATACGTTAATCGCGCATAATCCAAATACGGAAGGATTGTCAGACAACCTTGATGTCACTCAGACTATTTGGAAGTAAAACGCTCCCTGTTCGAGACTGTCCAGCAATTACGCATCAGCAGGGGACTTATCAAATGTTTGCATCGACTCAAGCTACATCAGTGTTTGACAAGGAAACAAAACAGCTAAAAACCAATTCGGTCTTTATTGACTGACTATTCGACGTACTAGCCTATTCGTAATTAGTTTAGCATAAAACCGACCTCGCCTGCTCTGCGATTTGACGGCCATCAATGGTTGACAGTTGGGTACGTAGGTTGAATTGGAAAAAAACAGATGTCCACTGAATTACGGCCATTTGAAGGTCCCTATATAGAATTATATTCCGCTATTTCACGTTCCGGCATCGAAATACAACACCGAATGCACCTTTGAAATTGCATCAAATCCTCCATTATTCACGTGACATGCAACTGTTGAAATGAGTTTAGGATTTCATTTCTAGATAATCTACACCTTTTCCCATCGAGCTTTAGCCAAAACCCGCAATCCTTTAGCCATACCCCGTAGTCCTTTAGCCTCAACACACAAACTTTAGTCACACCGTAATAGACGAGTCAGATGTAGTTGACAATGTTAGGTATCTGGATATCGTTCCTGGTGGTAAGGAACATCTGCAAACATTTGTGAAAGCAGCCGCCACACCCAGTGAATTTGATGTGTCGTGATTGCCAAAATGAGCTCACATACACGCAAAAGCTCTTAGAGTTACGATTAGAAACGAACGCAATGACTCAGCTGCACTACACTACGGCCTATTCTGTTTCACCTGCACCTGAGTTCGACACATAATTATGGTGGAGTATCTCAGTTTCATCCAAGTTAATCAGAAAATATTTCCGTCTCTGACACCCATCAGCCTGATTAGGACCTTTATGTCCTCATGTTTTCCGCGGGTCCTATCAGCTGTTGTCATACTTTTGGTGAGATACTGGCATGTTAGTTTTTCGTTATTCGCACTCGTACAGGTTTTATACTGAACCAAGAGCCCCACAATGTACCTGTAGATACGTGCATATCCAGTGCAATGATCAATCAAAGTACTTTTGTGTTTTTCAAGCATCGTGTTCCCAAANTCCCAAATCCGAATAGATGATGATGTTTCGTCTAGTTTATCCCGCATTAGGTTTTGCCGAGAGGTTGCAGGACGATCTGGCATCAAAAGTAAGACTTCGCGAACCCCAGTTAAATAGGTTGACTGGTTCTCCCTCCCGTATTTCACGTTTTACGTATGAAGGGGACAAAACATTGAATTTGGATAGAGCAGAGCGAGGGGTGGGTGGGAAGTGGGGAGTGGGGACTGCTATTACTGACCAATTTCGGTCAGACAAGCTAGAGAGAATTTCCTAAAGCATGGAACTTTTCCCGAAAAAAGGGAAGAACAGACACATCGAACTAAAGCACGTGTCAATGAGACTCGAGAAAGAAATGATATATTAAAAAACAAACAAACAATGGTTAAATTGTGTCCCGACACCGAATCAAGGGGTATAGTTCAAATTGGGGAAAAACAAACTGCTTTAGTTGGTTGAACAGTTAGCTGGATTAGGAGTACTGGAAATAACAGAATGATTACTAGCTGAAACAGGATCCGAGGTTGTACAAACGGACTGAGAATATCACCAGATAACGAACGCTGAAGATACCACTTTCGTCTGGCAATAAAGCGCATCTTTTTTAATAAATTGTCAATCTCGGTGAACAGATAAAAAACGAATGTTTGATGGATTCGTCCATCATCGTATTGTTGACGGTGACTATATCAAATAAGTTTGGTATTCGTATGGTGAACAAATCTCTACTAACGATGAAGTGCCAACCCAATGTGTTGTTCTCCCAAACAGAGGGTTACATTTAACGCCCATACTACAGTGTGGGAATTACATTTTGCATGTCTGTGGGAACCGAACCATTTCAACATGTTCCGGTTAGTCAATGTTATCACCACTGTCCTGGATCCATCGTAGATCACCGGTACCAGTATTGGAGATTTAAAATATTCCATATCAGGAATGCATTGAATCAAAAATGGAAATGTTGACGTGAACCGAATATTTATGTGCACGTAAATCGTACCTATCAGAATAGCATGGAAGAATAAATATCACCTAATATGTCACGAAATTTACTCTTATTGGTAATTGAACTAGCAGCTATCACTGTAATTGCATGCCAACTTACATAAGTATACAGTTCCAAGCTAACTCATAGTTCGCAGTGCCTCCATGTTTCCTGGTGCATCTGGCTAACACCCACTCTCTAATCGAACACTATAATGATTTTATGAAACGAATAATTTTTCCTTCACATGATGCTAAATTAAACAATTTGCTATGATCACTATATGCACACGAGAATGTAAAATCACTTTTTCTGTGTTACATATAGCTAACTACTGCATCCACTATTTAGAAACATAAGTATTTATTGAGTTACTCATTGTTGGCGAATGCAAACCATAGGCATGAGGTACTTCGACGAGAATACACAACTCACCCGCGAACGGCCGTTTAGTCCGGAGTTGTCGGTTTCTCGGTTGGGAATGGGCATTGGATCTATTGTCCAGTTACTCACACTGGACCCAGATGGTCTACGAGATCCAGGACGGGAAGACGGGGCGGATATGAAGGGACCTTCACAAACCCTTGCGGTGAGTAGCTGGGATTCGGAACCGTCTAGCATACCACTGGAATGTAATCCACTCCCAGTGACCCCCGTGGCTGAGCCGGAAGCACTACCGGCAAAACAACGTCGAGAGGATGTGAGGACATTCTCACTGCTTCGCCGAGACAAGGATTCCACACTGCCCTGGATTTCCACGCGAGGAACCAAATTACCGGGAGAGGTTTCGTTTAAATGCTCCCGACTACCTTTCTCACGTCTCGTATCGCAGCTGTGTCTGCGCAGCTGCCCAACTGAGGGTAACTGCAAACC